GCATTAAAAGATTGACATCTCATAGAGTATGTTTTCTGGTAACAATGGAATTGTATTATATAGGTTTAAAAACATTAACCAAATAAATTTGAAGATCAAATGGGCTTTATTAAATGATTCATGATCCAGGGAGGTTTCTATCCAGCAAGCAGAGGGGAACTCCAAAAGGCTACTGAACAGGGAGGTTTTTAAAGGTAGAGCGGGAGTGGAAAAAAGGAAATAGTAGCAAAGAATCCATTCTTTTAGTCAAGGTTACCCTCCTAAGGGAAGGGAAGGAATCTATCGGCATGTTTCCTAGCGCTACTCAGGAACTCCCATGTTGACTTGTTAGAGGCCACATTTCCGGGGGGGACGTGAGAGGGCTGAAACCGCTGACGAGTTAGGTCTTGAGTCTCAGTTTACTGACTTAGGGCCTTAACCTAAGTGATACTATATTGGGCCCGTGGTTTTCTTTTGAGCAGAAATAATAACGAAAAGAAATCTAGAAGAGCTTCTGGTATTTGGAAATTAAGCAACATGCTACTAAAACATTCACAAGTCAAAATACACAAGGAAAAAATTTAAATATCTTACACTAAAAGAGAATGAAAGCACAACGTATTTGCAGGTAAGGCTGTGTTTACAGGAATATTTATGGTTTTATTTATGCTTTAGGACAGAGGAAGAAAAGTTTTGAGTCAATGATCTAACTTTCCACCTTAAGTAGCTAGAGAAAGAACAAATTAAACTCAAAGTAATAGGGAGAAAGGAGATAATAAAAACGAGAATAGAAATCAGTGAAATAGAAAACCAACAAAAATAGAGAAAACCAAAAGTTGGTTCTTGGAAAAGTCGAATAAAATTGATAAACCCTGTAAAGACTTAGCAAAAAAAGAGAGACAAAGAGAGAAAGAGAGAGAAAATAAAATGAGGCCAGGGTGGACTTAGACACATAGATCAATGGAACAGAATAGAGAACCCAGAAATAAACTCGCAATTATATGGTCAATTAATCTACGGCAACAGAGGCAAGAATATACAATGGGGAAAAGACAGTCTCAGTAAACAGTGCTGGGAAAATTGGACAGCTCCATGCAAGAGAATGAAACTGGACCACTTTCTTACACCACACACAAAAATAAACTCAAAATGAATTAAAGACCTAATGTGAGACATAAAACCATAAAACTTGTAAAAGAAAACATAGGCAGTAATTTTTTTGACATCAGCCATTGCAACTTGTCTCTAGGTATATCTCTTCAGGCAAAAAAACAGAAGATAAACAATCAGAACTACGCCAACATAAAAAGCATTTGCACAGTGAAGGAAACCATCGACAAAATGAAAAGGCAGTCTACCAAATAGGAGAAGGTACTTGTAAACAATCTATCTGAAAAAGGGTTACTAAATATATATAAAGAATAACAATATGTAAGGAATTTCTACAACTCAACACTAAAAAACCCTACAAATACTCTGATTAAAAATGGGCAGAGGACCTGGATAGATGGGTTTTCTTTTCCAAAGAAGACACACAGATGCCCGAAAGGCACATGAAAACATGCTCAAAATGACTCCTCATCAGGGAAATGCAGACAAAAACCACAATGAGGTGTCACTTCACACCTGTCAGAATGGCTAAAATCAAAAACACAAGAAACAGTTAAGTGTTGACAAGGAGGTGGAGAAAAATGAACCAACCCTCGTGCGGCGTGGGTATGGAATGCAAACTGGTGTGGCCGCTGTGGAAAACAGTATGGGGGCTCCTCAAAAAGTTAAAAATAGAGTTATCATAGGATCCAGTGTTTACACTAATGGTAATATACCCAAGGAAAGTGAAAACACTAATTCAAAAAGATAAGGCACCCCTGGTTTACTGCAGCATGATTCACAACAGCCAAGATATGGAATCAACCCAAGTGTCCACCGATAGATGAATGAATAAAGATGTGGTGTACCCCCACCCCCACCCCCACACAGGAATATCATTCAGCCATTTTTAAAAAAGAAAAAGATTGTGCCATTTGTAATAGCATAGTTGAACCTAGAGGGTATAATGCTAATTGAAATCAGTCAGACAGAGAAAAACAAATGCTGTATGATTTCACCTATATGTGGAATGTAAAATACAAAACAAATAAACAAACAAAAGGCAGAAACGGACTCATCAATACAGAGAACAGAAGGGTGGCTGTCAGAAGGAAAGGGCTTAGGGGATGGGCAAAATGGGTCAATGGGAGAGCGAGGTGCAGCCTTCCAGTTATAGAATGAGTAAGTCCGGGGATGAAAGGTACAGCAAAGAGAGTAAAGAAAATCATATTGTAATAGTGCTATGCGGTGACAGGCGCTAACCGCACGTGGGGTGAGCACAGCATAAGGCAAGGAGATGCTGAATCACTGTGTTGTCACACTTGAGACTAATGTAACATTGTGTGTCGACTAGACTTCAGTTTAAAAACAAGTGAGGCCAAGCTGAAGCTCTATGGCGGTTCCTTACACCTTCTTACAGGTGTTCCATATGCTTGAAGTTACAGTTGTCGCCCCCTCCCCCCCCACCTCCGCTTCTCTGCAGTTTTGCTTTCTACTGTTTCAGTTACTTGTGGTCAACCACGGTCCGCAAGCGGACGATCCTCATCAGAAGGTCACTAGCAGCCTTACGCTGTGTCACAATGTCAATGTCGTTCACCTCCATCTCCTCACAGAAGCATTTTATCACCTCACATCATCACAGGAAGAAGGGCAAGACACTACCGGATATTCAGAGAGAGAGAGAGAGACCACATTCACCTAGCTTGTATCACAGTGTGTGGTTATAATTGCTCTATTTTTAAAAGTTTTTAACGCTTATTTATTTTTGAGACAGAGACAGAGACAGAGACAGAAACAGAGACAGAGACAGAGACAGAGTAGGCACGGCAGAGAGAGAGGGAGACACGGAATCCGAAGCCGGCTCCAGGCTCTGAGCTGCCAGCACAGAGCCCGACACGGGGCTCAAACCCACAAACTGTGAGATCATGACCTGAGCCGAAGTTGGACATTTAACCGACTGAGCCTCCCAGGCACTCCATAATTGTTCTATTTTTATCATTAGCTATTGCTGTTAATCTCTTACTGTGCCTAATTTATTCACTAAACTTTATCAGAGTTGGGTATGTATAGAAAAAAAAAGCATTGTAGGGGCACCTGGGTGGCTCAGTCAATTAAGCCACCGACTTCGGCTCAGGTCGTGATCTCACAGTTCAAGGGTTTGAGCCCCGCATCGGGCTCTGTGCTGACAGCTAGCTCAGAGCCTGCAGCATCCTTCGGATTCTGTATCTCTCTCTATTTTTTTTTAAATTTTTAATGTTTTATTCATTTCTAGGAGAGAGAGAGAGACAGCGTGAGCAGGGGAGGGTCAGAGAGAGAGGGAGACACAGACTCTGAAACAGGCTCCAGGCTCTGAACTGGCTGTCAGCACAGAGCCCGACGTGGGGCTCGAACCCACGAACCGCGAGATCATGACCTAAGCGAAAGTCGGACGCTTAACCGACTAAGCCACCCAGGCGCCCCTGTCTCTCTCTCTTTCTGACCCTCCCCTGCTCACGCTGTCTCTCTCCGACTCTCAAAAATAAATTAAAAAACATAAAAAAAGAAAAAAGAAAGAAAAAACTCCCATCATATCTGTAGGGTCTGGTACTCTCTGCGCTCTCAGCATCCCCTGGGATATCTTGGAATGTATCTGACCACGGATAAGGGGTGACCACCATATGTCATAATGAAACTTTAAACAAAGTGGGTGAAAGGTACAAACTGGTAATATTGAACGGCTCAAATTTTTGTCAGGAGAGATCGCCTTTTTCTGCTGAATGGAAGACAACGGGAGGGGGAGAAGATTGGGAGGGAAAAAAAGAGATGGTGGAGAAGGGGAGGGCCGAGCCCTCAGGAGTCCCAGCGATGCCTTTGGCTGCCAGGTGCGGGGCGCCGCCTTCCTAACCCGCGTGCCCGCGCCAGTGGTACAGGGGCCGCGCGTGGAGTTTTCCGAGCTCCCGCAGGTTTCTTCTCCAGTCTGCGCACTCTTCTGGACGCTTCTTGCCCCCAATACTTACACCCCTCTTGCAGCTCTAACCTAAAACACCATGTGAAGCCAAGTCTTTTCTACGATGTTACAGGGAAGGGGACTTAGTTTTATGGGAGGGAGAAGATAGGCGTTTAAATTTAGATGTGGTAGATAAAAGCAAGTCTCATGTGGCAACTGAATCAGAAATGAGGCAGAGACCCTTCTTTATTCTAAAAGCCAACAGCTGCTCGGAGACAAGCAGATTGAACCACTTCCTCCCTGCTCAGAAACTCTCAAAGTACACACACACACACACACACACACACACACGTGCACATGCGCGCATACACATATGCATGCACGTTTATATACACATATGGTTGGAAGAACGCAGAAAAGGAGCACAAGGAAAAATAATTCATTGATGATGTCATTTGCAACTTGGGTGCACGGTGACATGATTCATATCACACGATGTCCTGCAAAAAGCACGTTCACAAGTCCAGGCAATTCTCTCAAACCAGGGGGTTGAGGATTACACCACAGATAAGCACTAAGTAACCAATTAAGACAGACCTAGTTACTTTGGTAAAACACACAGAGAGATGTTACTTCTTTTTTTAGATTCTTACGAAAAATTGCAAACATACAGAAGAACAGCGTAATGATCCCTTCCTCTACCCTTCAGACTGAACATTCCAATTACACTGAGTTGGAAGAAATCACAGCACAGGAAGTCGGTAGTTTGGGATACAGAACAGGGCATAGTTAAATTTAGCTTTGCTGGGAGCTAGCTCCAACTTGATTAATCAGCTAATCAAAGCTCTTTGTCTGATTTCAGTTTCCTTATCGGCATGAAGAAAGGCTCTTCACAACTCGTCATCTGTGCCGGGCACTTCTAGGTCCCGGCTGAAGGCTCTGTTCACGATTCTCTGCGTTAGCTGATGCCTTGCTGATTCGGGTTGGGGAAAAAGACGAGCTTACGTTATTTTCTATATGTCGAATTCAAGAAAAATGAGACGCATTTTTATTTTTTTATTTTTTTTATTTTTTAAAAATATTTTTATTTATTTCTAGGAGAGAGAGAAAGACAGTGTGAGCAGGGGAGGGTCAGAGAGAGAGGGAGATACAGACACTGAAATAGGCTCCAGGCTCTGAGCTGGCAGTCAGCACAGAGCCCCATGCGGGGCTCGAACCCACAAACCCTGAGATCATGACCTAAGCGAAAGTCGGACGCTTAACCGACTAAGCCACCCAGGCGCCCCACGAGACGCATTTTTAAATTGCAATCCTCGGCGTCCGAGATGCTGGGAGGGCACCCATGTGGAGACCATCGCAGGGCCAATGGAGCCCAATATCTGGATCCCAGGAGAGAGCCCGGCGGGGGGGGGCACTCCGAGACAGTCCATAGACCAGGGGAAGACGGAACAAAGGAAGGAATAAATGAAGGCAAGGAGGTGTGGGCACATTCCCAGGACTCCAGGCCAGATATTCTTTCTGGAACTGCTCAGAAGTTCCACTCTATTGCCTGCAGTTCTGTTCACAACCCTCGGGAAGGCCAGCTGCCACCGTCGCCGGCTACTGCTCCCAACCGCCATGGTCCCTGCTGGGGTCAAGCCAGCCTCCTCTTCTCGGACCTCAGCCTGGCCCTGCAGGGATCCTGGCCCTTCTCGGGGGAGCTGTTCGGGGGGCCTGATGAGGGGGGAAGGCAGATGAAGTGAGGGGGAGGGGAGGACAGGGAGACAGTGAACGCAGACCGCTTTTGCACAGGTTTGGCTTTGAAGGGGAGGAGAGAATTAGGGCGGGAGCCGCAAAGGAGCTTCGGGGTCAAAGCAGGGTTTTTGGTTTTTAATTTTGTTTGTTTGCTTACATTTGGGGAGAGATTTAAACACGTTTAGAGGTTCCAGTTTGGAGGAGGAGGAGGCTGAATAAACAGGAGGGAGAAAGATTCCAGAGCAGAGTGGCAAAGGCACCTCTAATGGACCCATGGATGCTAATAGCTCCTTCCGCCTCCCGCTGGCTGAGGCCCCTGACAAGCGGGGCGGCTGCTCCCCCATTTCCACGTGGGATGCGGGAGCTCCTGAGCAGGCGGGGAGGGAAATGTCAGAGCAGCAGCTCTGAGTCACTATACTGACCGCCCACCTCCGGATCATGAGGAGGCTGGATAGGCCCGGGGGGAGGGACCAGGAAACCCGAAGTCCGTTTCTGCAGGAGAGGTTTGCGCTGAAGAGCCCCCCCCAAGCCGCCCCTGGGGGAGGGGGGGTGCTTTTTCTTTTCACAAATCAGCTGAGGGGGGTTAGGAGCCACACGGGTGTCCGAGGCACACGTGGAAAGCCACAGGGGAGTCTGTGGCCGTGGCCATCGCTGTCAGTTGGTGGCCGGGCTCTCTTGAAGGGCTCTGTCTGAGAGGTAGGTGAAGGTTGGTCAAGTGTGTGTACTTCCTGTGGATCAGAGGTGAGCCACAAGCGTGTGACACGGTGACCGGTGATTGGACCAGAGTGATGGGTCTCACCTGGGGTGACTTTACTCCCCAAGGGACATCTGGCAATGTCAGGAGACATTTTTTAAAAGTTTTTAAAATAATTGGGGCGCCTGGGTGGCTTAGTCGGTTGAGTATCCGACTTTCGCTTAGGTCATGATCTCGCGGTTCGTGGGTTCGAGCCCGCGTCGGGCTCTGTGCTGACATCTAGCTCAGGACCTAGAGTCTGTTTCGGATTCTGTGTCTCCCTCTCTCTCTGACCCTCCCCTGCTCACGGTGTCTCTTTTTCCTAGAAATAAAAAAAAAATAAAACACTAAAAAGTTTTTAAAATGATTATTTATTTTTGAGAGAGAGAGAGAGAGAGAGAGAGAGAGAGGGTGCCAGCGCAGTAGGGGAGGGGCAGAGAGAGAGGGAGACAGAACCCGAAGCAGGCTCCAGGCTCCCAGCTGTCAGCACACAGCCCTGCACGGGGTTCAGACTCATGAACCGCATGATCGTTACCTGAGCGGAAATCTGACGCTTAGCTGACTGAGCCACATGGGGTCCCTGGAGACAATTTGGTTGTCGTGACTCGTGGTGGGGGGAGGGTCATTTAGTGGACAGAGGCCAGGGACGCTGCTCCCCATCCTGTGATGCACAGGCGGGGGCAGCATGGAGGGGAGGGGGTGCAGGTGTGGTTGGGAAATTGAAGGGGTCCCTGTATGACGGTCAAGACTGTTTCTGTGGAGTAAGAAACTCGCCTTCTGCTGGCAGTGCGGGGGAGGGGAAGGCCACGGGGACTGGAAAGAACGGACAACTCAGTCATCTTAGGAGTGGGGCAGCGAGGTGACACAGGGCAAGGCTGCCAAACAACATGGAAGAGAAGACGACAGGTGACGGTTGAGGGAATGGAGGGGCCAAGGCGGAAGCAGGCCGGGGGAGGAGCCTTTCAAGGGGCTCGATGGCAGCGCCCGTGTGCCCAGGCCCCCAGCACAGCGCTGCCAAGACCTGGAGTGGCACTGGGGTCCCGCCTGTTAATAGGCTCGTTCTCCCTTGTGGCTGGGGGCGTCCGCTGCCCGCGGTCCCCTGTCGGCTCCCCTCACTGGCCCACATCCGCGAGCGGGTCCTCCATCGGTGATGACGCAGTGACCGCAGGGCAGTCTCTGCCTCGGGTCCTCCTTGAGGGGAGACCTGTCCCCGCACCTCGTAAACGTCCCGGAGTCCTGGCTGGGGTCCTTCGCAGAAGGGCTTTCGTTGGTGCTGTGGCGGTAAAGCGAGACGCCGGCCGTGACCGCCAAGGAGGTCACCAGTAGGGCGTGGCCCTCACAGAGCGACGGGAAAGTGGAAGAGCTGACTCTGAAAAGGACAAAAACCAGGGGGGCCTTGGGGACCCAGGAGCAGAAACCGAGGGACAGTGTCATCCGGCCACTACAAGGACGTGTCGGTCCCCATCTCTTCGCTGCTTTCTCCTCCTGCCATTCGAGGCCCTAGAGAGAGAGTGTCCAGGTGGGCCTGGGGTCCCCCGGCCCGTGGTTGTGACTTGCATAGGCCATCAGAGTGCCGTCCCCCGAATCCGGAGGTAGAGGCAGGCGGAGAAAAGGGGGCTCAGCTTGCCGGAGGAGGGGTCTGGAACGCCTTTCAGGGTCGCCAAGACCCCCTTCCTCCCTGATGGACACTCCTACGCTCTGACTCTCGGATCAAAACAGAAAGCTGCACAACAGCCTCGGGGGATCACTGGACCCCCCAGTGTAGAAATCACTCTAGAAATCTCTCCTCTCCTGTAGGCAGCGGCTGCCTGGCTCAGCTGCAGGCCTCACACGCTGTCTCCCTGGGGGACATTTAACCATTTCACACCCACTGACACGCGGGTTACGAAAGCAGGGCCCTGAGCCTCTTCTTAACCTCCTAATTTTTTTTTCCAAAGGGGGGAAAACACTATTTTAGTCACTGTTTTGCAGAGAGAGAGAGAGAGAAGAGTCCTGTTTGTCCTTATGACTCATTTTGGTGGTTTTTGGATGATGTTGTATTGATTAATGAGGACTCACTCAGCATCTGGTATGAATTAAGTGGGACGGACTTTCTCTCGGTGACAGTAAAAGGAAAGATCTTAAACAGGGCTAACATTGAAAGGAGCCTGGTGGGAACGGGAGTTCAAGCAATCTTCGGGACCTGAGTCAGGTCAGTGAGATGCTGAGCCGTCTCAGCAAAGCCAGCAAGACGTGGCCTGCGGCCTCGGCGTGGTGCTGCCCGTGACGTCATGTCTGCTCCTCACTTTCGTGCTGATGACTCCTCGTGGGTCATACTGCTTCCCATCATGTGTTGCTTTAGCCTGTGGCCATTAGCCCGCTCAGCCCCATGGGGGAGACAGAGGCAGGAAGCACAGGTGTCACATCAGGGGCCGGGAGTTTTCTAGTGTGTTCCAAGATGCTTTCCGTAGAATTCCAGAGCCTGTCCTTAACGGAAGATGGTTTTGCCACCGCAAGGGGCATTTGGCAATGTCTGGAGACGTTTATGGTTGTCACAGGGTGCCGGCCTGCAGAGGCCAGAGACGCTGCTGAACATTCTGCAACGCACAGGACAGTGTCCACGACCAAGGATTTGCCAGCCCCAGATGTCAGTGTTGTGGAGGTTGAGAAAGTGTCCTAATCTAAACCAGCCCTTAATCCCAAGCGACTTGATGGTTTGAGGGCGTTGGCTGACTTAATGAAAAGACCTCTAGTTATGAAAATGAACAGACAAGGGGCACCTGGGTAGCTCAGGCGGTTGAGTATCCGACTCTTGATTTCGGTCTTATGGTTTGTGGGTTCAAGCCCCACATCGGGCTACATGCTGGCAGTGTGGGGCCTGCTCAGGCTTCTCTCTCTTTCCTTCTCTTTCTGCCCCTCCTATGCTCTCTCTCCATTGAAATAAATCAAATAAACTTAAAAAACAAACAGATTTTTTGAAAAATCGTGATTTCTGTGTTTAAAAAGTGTACAGTTGATTCGTTAACAGCACGGATTTAAACTGTGTGGGTCCCCTTATACAGAGTTTTTTCAACAAACACAGTCCAGTACTGTAAATGTATTTTCTCTTCCTAATGATTTTCTTTAACATTTTTTAAAATGTTTGTTTATTTTTGAGACAGAGAGAGAGAAAGAGAGCACGAGCAGGAGAGGGGCAGAGAGAGAGACACACACACAGAAATCAAAGGAGGCTCCAGGCTCTGAGCTGTCAGCACAGATCCCGATGTGGGGCTCGAACCCATGAGCCGTGAGATCATGACCTGAGCTGACGTTGGGATACTTAACTGACTGAGACACCCAGGCGCTCCTGGAATCTTCTTCTTCTACCCAAAAACCCAACTCAAGTTTAAACAAGTCAAAGAAGTTATTGGCTCATACCATCAAGAACCCTCGACAGTGCTACACAAAGCCTGGTCCATGGACCAGAATGGTTCACAAACTGTCTATTCTTGTTCCACAATGAGCTACGGCTATACTGCTGAAATGACTACGGGCATAATCCTCTTTCAACAAACTGCCTTTTCTCTGTTGTTTATTATAATTAAGAATAATGAGAACACCTGGATTTAGGAGGCAACAGAAGTACCAGTGTTAATGAGGGAAACTTCTAGAAGCCATATGGTTTATTTTTATTGTATGTTGCACAGTATCAGTCAGTAAGATAATAGGAATATAAAGTTGGAAATCCAAAAACAACACTGCCTTTGTCACAGACAGTTTGAGAAACACCAGCCTGGTGCGGTGCTGAGTCACCATCCGGGCTGCCCATTAGGCCCACCTGGTGAGTTTTGGCAACTACTCATCCTGGAGCTCATTCCCAAAGGGTTTGACTTAATTGGCCTGGGGTGGGGCCCAGGCATGGGTAGCATTAGGAGCTTACCAGGTGGCTCTAATGTGTGGCCGAAGTTGAGAAGCAGTGGTCTGGATTTAGGCTGGCCTCAGGTGAGACTTGATCCAGTGCTCGAGTCGTAGACTGTCATCAAGGACCTGTGTTCTCATAGCACTAAATGCTTATGTTAGAAAAGAAGAGCGGGGAGGGCGTCTGGGTGCCTCAACTGGCTAAGCACCTGGCCACTGATCTCAGCTCCGGTCATGATCTCACAGTTTGTGAGATGGAGCCCCGCATAGGGCTCTGCACTGACAGCCCAGAACCTACTTAGGATCCTCCCCGTTGTCTCCCCGCCACCCACCGTTGTCTCCCTCTCTCTCAAAATAAATAAAAAACTTTAAAAAAAAAAGAAAAGAAAAATCTCACATCAATGATTCTAGCTTTCACCTTAAGAAACTAGAAGATGAGGGGTGCCTGGGTGGCTTAGTCGGTTAAGTGTCCGACTTTTGCTTAGGTCATGATCTAGCGGTTCGTGGGTTCGAGCCCTGCGGCGGGCTCTGTGCTGACAGCCAGCTCAGGGCCTGGAGCCTGTTTCAGAGTCTGTGACTCCCTCTCTCTCTGACCCTCCCCTGCTCACGCTGTCTCTCTCTCTCCTAGAAATAAATAAAACATTAAAAAAAAAAAGAAACTAGAAGATGAAACTAGAAGACGAATAAATTAAATCGAAAAGAAGCAAATGAAAAATAATAAAGATCAAAGAAGAAATCAGTGAGATAGAAAAAAAAAGAATAATAGGGGAAATCAACCACACCAAAAGCTGGTTCTCTGAGAAAAATCACTGAAATTGGTAAACCTTTAGCCAGACCAGCCAGGAGAAAAATAAAGAAAATATAATTTACCAATATCAAGAATGTGAGCGGGTGGGGGGGTGGAGGGGGCGGAATACCACTCCAGGTTGTACAGTTAGTAAAAGGCTAATAAGACGATTATTATGAACAATTTTATGCCGTTAAGTTCCATAACTTACATGATAGGAGCAATTTTCTTGAAAGCCTCAAACTCCCAAAGCCAACTCAGGAGGAAAGAGATCACTCAAATAGCTCTAATTTTATTACAGAACTTGAATTGGTAGCTTAAAGAAACGTTTTCACAAAGAGAACTCCAGGCCCAGATGGCTTTACTGGTCAATTCTCCCAAACACTTAAGGAAGAAGGAATGCCACTTTTACACAAAATCTTCAAGAAAATTGCAGAGGTGAGCACATTTCCCCGCTCATTGTTTCAGACCAGCTTTCCCTTGATACCCAAACCAAAACAGTACAAGAAAATAGAAAGAAGTTCTTAAAAGCCCAGCACCTAACATTCTCGAGATAGTCATCTCCTGTTGCCCGGTCCTCTGAGTTATTCTAACCCAGGGCCTGGGCCTCGCATAACTTGAAACTGTGCAACACACCTCCTTCTTCCTGTTGCAGAGGACAGGACCCAATGGCAGCCTTCTAACTTACATGAGGGCACTGGCTCAAAACGTGTGCTGGAGCCGGGGCGCCTGGGTGGCTCAGTCGGTTAAGCATCTGACTTTGGCTCCGGTCATGATCTCAAGGTTCATGAGTTAGAGCCCTGTGTTGGGCTCTGTGCTGACAGCTCAGAGCCTGGAGCCTGCTTTGGATTCCGTGTCTCCCTCTCTCTGGCTCTCCCCTGCTCATGCTCTCTCTCTCTCTCTCTAAGAATAAATAAACATTAAAATAAAATAAAAAAATGTGTGCTCGGGCCCTTCTCAGGAGGTTGACCTAAGAGACACAAAAGGAAGGAACTTTTGATGGTAGGAACTGAGGAGGGAGACGCGTACCCACCGAACAGCTGTGGCAGCCATATTGGAACCACGAAGAGAAAGGAGAGGAAACAGATCCAAAGAGAGGGTGGGGCAGATTAACAGGCATAAGTTAGCAATGAGGGAATAACCCAGTTTCTGTCCCTTGTAAGGCCTGGCTCTTCAGATTCTTTTGTATTCATGTAAGACTCTTAATGCTTAAGGGGCGCCTGGGTGGTTCACTTGGTTGAGCATCTGACTCTTGATTTCTGCTCAGGTCATAATCTCATGGTTCGTGAGTTTGAACCCCACACTGGGCTCTGTACTGACAGCGCTGATGAGCATGGTTGGGATTCTCTCTCTCTCTCTCTCTCTCTCTCTCTCCCTCTCTCAAAATAAATAAATAAACTAAAAAAAAACCCCCCAAGACTCTATACTTGACACACTGTGTGGACTTCCCTTTCCTATAGCCAAAACTACCCTGACAAAACAAAATGCTCAATAAAAGCAAGTTCCATCCATTCCTACACAGTACGTTCATCTTTGGCGTCACTTCCTAGCCTAAGGACACTCTGGGCCACCTTCTTCATTCCCAAAGGCCTCACCAATTTAATTGGATTCTCTTTTTTCTGTGTGCGTTCACTAAAATTTTTTTTTGCTGAGGGGTAACATACATGTCGTTAAGGATAGAAATCTTAAGTATGTACCTCAAATAATGTATGCGTGCACACACACACACACACACACACACACACCCTTATGTAACCACCACACCAACACAGAACATTTCTAACACTTACAGAAAGTTGACTCTTTCTACTCCCCGTGACGTTGCAGATCAGATTCTGAGCATTTGTTGGGTGTTCACGTGCTCAGCTGTGTCCTCCCATAATGCCTGTGTAACACCCTACGCCGCC